AGAAAACAAAACTTGAACAGGCGGGCGATGAATTCAGTAGACGCCGCATTGCGGAAAGATTGCGTAACTTAGAAGATGAAGGATCGGCCCGCCAACATTGTTCAGAGAACAGGGTATAACCATTGCCAGTATTTTTACCGCATTGGGATTAATTTTAACCGACTTTGACTCTCGCGTTATCCGGTGGAGGTGGACCACCCACACCGCCTACACCTCCTAGTGATACAAATGGTGTAAAAAGTGGATAAAAAAGTATTTAAAAGCATTAGGAGAAGCACTGGGAAAGCTCGCTGGGAAAGCCGCATCTGCACTTCCCGGTATAATGGGGAGTATTGTATCCTGGCTCTTGAATTTATTAGCTAAGACCACCACTTGGCTTATTTCAAACTTGTGGGCACTGATCGTAGCAATTGCTGGGCTGTTGTACTTATCCATTAAAGACTATTTATCCAAATCATGAGTAAACCAGCCGCGACTCCACCTACTATAAGCGCTGTTTTTTCATTGATATCTTTACTCGAAGAAATAGTAAATTCCTGACAAATACGCGAACCTATTGTACGGATTATTTGTGGAATTCCATGCTTGATCCTGCGGTAATGGGGCACTAATTTCTATAAGTATACGTCTCATCTGATAGAACACAGGAAATGATAAAACAGACTTATTTAGTTCAGATCCTGGGGCATAAAGAGATACACCACATCCCGTTGTGGCACACCATATGGCAAAGTTTAACTGGTTCTGCCAAAATTGCATTGGATTGTGGAACCAATCATGCACCATTTTATCGCTAGTTGCTGTGACCCTGTATTTTTCAAAGATATTAGGGAAATGAACAAAAGACTTAGCACCTGAGGCACTTACTAAAATCGACTGATTCATAATGTAAGTTGATTTCATATTTAAGTTATGATATAGTATCTTTGTATATGTAATATGTATGTTACACTCCCAGGAATAACAGATGGTCAGTCTATTCAACTACTTCATACTATCGATAACTCGGCTGGGCAGCTTGAAGTCGCTCTATGCGATGCAACGTATTACCTGCGGTGGACCAATATAAGTGCTGCAAGAGGTAATAATGAGATATGGATAAATGGAGACGTGCACACTATATCTGATGGGTATTACAGTGTATGCTCACTCAATGATGAACTTTTTAAGCCTTTTGGAGATAGTCTCACCCAAAATGAGTCGAATGGGATGCTGATTTTAAGCACTGGAGAAAGGGTTGTAATTCTTTACGAGAACTTAGCAGATACACTTGGATTTTTTAGACAAAAAGTAATAATACGACCCAACAAAACAGAGCTTGGAGTTAAAGTGCCTGATTTAGTTCACTGTAAAGAGTTGTGCATCCATCTTGATCAGATCAGTACAACAGATAATATTCAACTCAAAAGTCCTTCAACTCTGCTAAGAGCTATTCCAGTCAAAGATGAAAAACAATAGCGGTAGAACGGAATCTTTCACATCATTACAATATAAAAAGTTAAAACAGGGTTTTATTTCAGACCACAAAATTTCTGTATTAGATGTAAAACATCAACCTGTACATATAGGATACTTGAGTGTAACACTCCATATTATAAATAATGGTTGATTCATCAGGCCCTGGAATGCATAACCTTAGACAATACAATTGCGCTTTCCAATCTCGGAGACACAGAAGGATTCAGTAAACCCGGTACCGATGGTAAGTTATACGTTTTACACTTACAAGATAATGTATACAAGCGGAAAGAAGTTGTATTCACAGGTAATCTAGGAGATTTAAGTGATGTCGACGTTAGTAGACTCAATAAAAACACTTCATACAATCTTACTCGCAATGATGATAATAAGTCGACTATGGTCGAAGAAAAAATGGAGTGGCTACTGAATATCGTCATTACCCCACCATATGTGATGACGGGTAAGGGACATTATTTAACTAAGATAATGAATAGTGGGATCGTACACAGGGCTTATATCCCCTCAACATAAAACGAAAAAGTGTGTTAGTCACTCCCCTGCCAGAAAACCCAGGTCATATGTTATTGAGTCCTCCAGCATTAAAAAATGTTAGTTTAAATTTGGTTTCTGAATTCAATGATATAAAACAGAACTTGAATGCTATACCTGATCTTTCTACACTTGTTATTGAAGTCTTGTTTGGAGATGCACCAGAAGATGCCTTCGAGATATTACCAGGTCTATTAATTAAATGGCTTAAGAAACACGAGCGTCAATGTGGTAGTATTATTTATATGGGAGTGTCACCCGTTGCAAGCCTTCAGGGGGTCCAAATTATTAAAGGTGAAAACATTTCTCTTACTAAGATATTCATGCCGTATAATATACATTGAATAAGGCCGATGTATACTCTCAAAACATTTAAGCAAGACCAATTGAAGACTATTATATGATATAATAATATACATTAGGAGTTTATATCCGGTGCTCGATGAAGCATCTGAAAAGATGGATACTGTTGATGGATTTCGATTACATCAAATAAGCGACATAAAACATTGAATAGAGAAGGAGAGGGAGTTGAGACTTGGATTGTATAAAAAGTATTGCAGAGCTGTGAATGTTCTCACTTGTAACGGCTGGCATGGGACTCGGTGTAGCCGGGGTTAGTTTATTATCAACTATAATCTCCGCGCCTATCGTACTTGGTATTGAAGTAGCAGCCGGAGTCTCAGGACTGGCAGGAATAGCGATAAAATTTATTTCTCGTAAGTTGCAAAAGAAAGCATTAAAACATAATAATATTCGGATACTCGCCAAAGCATAGTTGAACAGCATTGAGGATCATTTTTCAACACCACTGGCTGATTGTAAGATATCCAAGGATGAGTGTTGTCAGAACTAACCAAATACAACGCAATGAAGCAGGAGATTCGATCCAATTCTCGTAAGACCAGTGGTATTAGCGAAGACGAGAAAAAAAAGTTCATAGAACAGGGGAGACAACAAGCTCGTCAATTTTTCCGTGCCAAAACCAAAGAACTGGTTGGAGATTAAAAATAGATTGTTTGATCACATTTAAATGAATGCTTACATAAGTCTATAATAATGGAGAATTACAAGCCAATCAAATGGCGAGAATTACCACAGGGTATATATTATATCAGTGATGTCAAACCAACCAAATACGGTCATCAATTGTTTCTTTCCAATTTCGAAAAAGAGTACATAGTCTGGTCTCCTAGTAAAATGAACGAAGAACTTAGTAAAAATATCAAACTTCTTCCTCAGTATATAACTCGTTGCTGGTAAGTATATTTGCCACATTGTTTGTTTCTTTAACCAATCCTTGGCCACATCTTTAGATATCTTAGCCGCAGTGGCTAATTTTTGTATTGCTCCTATACCTGTCCAATATCCTCATGGGCTATAGTAAATTTTATCCATTATTAATTGATATTGATATTGATGATTCTTTTTATACAATTCATGACGGTCATTGAATCACATCATCATTTTCACATAAAAAATTTCCCTCTGTAGTGGCAGTATTTGGTATATAAATCTGGCTCCAGTGGGGTTGCGGCAGAACTGTCATTACTTATACTACTTGACTCGTTAGAAGTCATATTTGAGGAAGTTTGACTATTAAATGTCATCAAAACGTTTTCACAATCGAAATACATGTAGCGTTGGAAGTCCCTATTGTTCCATACGTAAAAAAATATCCTGCATACCACCTGTACTAAAGTGCTATGCTTATGATTCTTATAATTTTAAGTATATATACAGTGGACGCTGCAACTACAATAACACGATATTTGAATATATTATTCCTGATAAAATAATAATTTCAGATACAATTTCTACCGACCATTGCATCAAAATTCTTTGAAGTTGTATCATTGGGTACTTTTTAACTGAAACACCAGTAGATTGGGAGGAAACGTGTGCACAACTGATTGCCATTTCTAAGTTTACGAAATACACATGATAATCTCTGCATTTAAAACAATGCCTTGGAAGGCAAGAAATACAACTTAAATGGTAAATCATCATGTCTAGTGATGTTTTATATCAAATTTCATACTTTTATTGACCAAGTTTGTTATACCTGTTTATTCACCTTAATTCACTGAAGGGATACAATCTTTTTTCTTGAAAGCACATGTTAATACTTGATAAATCTTTTTTTACACTATGAATCATAAACGACTTCTATTCTAATCTTTTTTTTAAACTCTGAAACATGCATCGTAGATTGTGTTAGGTACTCAGAGCATGTGTAACTGTATTGTTGGTCATATCTACCACCTACGACTCGACCTTCGTTAAACTGCTGATCATCTGTAATGCTAACCCGAAGGTAGCGTTGTAGCGAGGGATCACTGGAGACATGGTTTTGAAGTGCATGTGCTGATACACTCAATATTCCGTGGCAAACATCTTGTTGATTACTGTTCTCAAAATGAATATATATATATATTGAAATGTCTAATCAATATCAGTGGCATAATTTGATGTCAGAAGAATAAACCCACACCAATGGTTTGCTCAAAAGTGGTGCGGTGACTCCAGACACTGAGAAAGCCAGTATGAGCAGTGTAGGGTGTTCATCAAACAAGCTCATCCTTGTTCCTTTTTGCATCAAGGCAGCTTTTAAAGAGGAGGTTCAAGGGACAAATTGCATCATTCATGTGAGATGCTTGTGGCTGGGTGCTGGTTAATTTGATTGATTGATTGAACATGTGGTATATGATTACAGATATACAGCAATATCCAGGAGCTACAAAGCATGATCGTTCTTGGAAAATAATCTTAAATAGAAAGAATGTTTTGTTTTACTCTCTGCAGGAAGCACAGTGATTTCTCAGTGGAAATACTGGTTTTTATGGCTGTGAATGCTTTCCTCTAGACATGAAACATGTTTTTTAAGGAGATGTGAGTTTTCCATACATGTCAGTAAAAAGGATGTTTGACAGAAACATGACACAAGCCATTGAATAATTATTTTTTATGACTTAACTCCTATTTCTCAGTCTTGATGAAAACATCCACCTGAAAAATGCCATTGATTCTGAAGAGATGCACAGCCACGGCACTGTGAAGGCATTCTTGAGGAAATATGAGAAGTACAGGGTAATTCATTTTGTTTGTTTTTTCATCAATGCTGAATATACCTGAGGTCAGTCTAAGCAGAAATTACACCCAAATATCCTATGTCATGATTGCAGACATTTTGATATTGGTGACCTTATATTGTGAAAAAATATTGTCTTTCAGAATGAGTCAGGTGAGTCTTGAGGTGATGCAGAAAATATGATTTTGAGGAATCCTAATGTCAATGAATGTAATATCCATGAATGCTTCTTTGCAATATTGTACAGGAATTTTGTCATCAGTCTGTTTTTTGCTATTATCAGGATACTTAATGTTAGCTACTCTAAAAGAAAGAAAAATGGGTTTTTCAGATTAAAATCGATGTTTTATTGGTCTGTTTTCAGTCGTACAAATGGGTATGTCTCATACCTCTAGTCGCACATTTAAAAGGAAGCCGGAAGCTGGAATGTAAACATTAAACTTGTTTCCGTCCGGTTGCGCACGCACCTCCCTATGACATGTCACAAATCTCGAAGAATAAGCCATCAAGCAGGACTGGACTGGATTACTTCCCTGTGGGGATGGCTGGGTGGGAACGTACGACTGAAAACAGACCAATAAAACATCGTTTTTAATCTGAAAAACCCATGTTTTAGTCTGTTTTCAGTTGTACAAATGGGTAGAATTTGACGGAACACTGGAAGGAGGGTCGGGAAAGTAAACAGGAAGTGACCTCATTCACGTCGAATGTACCAAGTTCCTCACCCCTGTAGTGACAATAGAACATTCGACCAGATGCACGGACGAGACAAGTTGTTAATCACGAAGGCATAGCATGGTTAATGCTCTTCGACACACAACTAATTATCGATGCAACAGGACAACTGCACGCGCCAGTTGAACTGCAATCGAAGTGTGGTCGACGTATAGTATAGTTACAGAGCAACTCGCAGTATACAAGGTAACTAAAACAGCATGTTTAATGCTCTTCGACCCACAAGTAAGTATCGATGCGACAGGACAACTGCACACGTCAGTTGAATTGCGATCAAAGTGTGGTCGGCGCATAATTTAGTTACAGAGCAACTCACAGTATACAAGGTAACTAAAAAATACGAGCAGTTCTATAAAGTATGGGAAGACGATGCATACAACGAATAACCATAATAAAACAGCCAAAGTACTGCACGCAACAAAAACCATAAGAATGCGTACATTCACCAACAGTTTTTATTGTAACCTGTTATCTGGCACGAAGTGTCGAGCAAAAAGTCCAAAGTGAATAAAGCACAAATTCACTGTCTTTTCTGGGAGATCTGTTGTGCCACTACGAGTGGACCAAACTGTGTGCTCATGTTGAAGCTATGGCTCGAACTTCGTGGAGATGAGAGAAGGTGGGAGGTGCGAGTCCTTGCGCCTCGTAAGCTCTGAGAATGACCGCTCTCAACCAAAAGGAGAGAGTATTACGTGTAATCTCTTTCTTTGCATTGGTTGAGAACGGTATGAACGGCGAAAATGTTGTCGTCGCTGTTCAGATCGCTGCAGGTAAATACGCACGAACTGGGCACAGGGTGAGAACAGCGTGATCATGAGGGCCCATAATGGCAGACACGGAAGGAATGTGGAACATTCTCGAATCTTGGCCAGGAAGTTGATTTTTCGCTTTAAAAAAATCCCATCTGAGACCAAGATGGACTTTGCCATGGTTACGCTGATCGAACGTAATCCGATCGACGTCAATGGCATGTAGTTCCGATACTGTCGCTGCCATAGCCAGCGAGAGAAGGAAAGCCATTGTCTGAGACAATGTCGAACGCGACCTGATCGAGAGGCTCGTAAGTCTGACTAGACAGGTTGCGCAGAACGATATCGAGGTCCCTTGGCCAGGAAGTTGATTTTTCGCTTTAAAAAAATCCCATCTGAGACCAAGATGGACGTTGCCATGGTTACGCTGAGCGAACGTAATCCGATCGACGTCAATGGCATGTAGTTCCGATACTCTCGCTGCCGTAGCCAGCGAGAGAAGGAAAGCCGTTGTCTGAGACAATGTCGATCGCGACCTGATTGAGAGGCTTGTAAGTCTGACTAGACAGGTTGCGCAGAACGATATCAAGGTCCCAGGCCAGCAGTCGGAATTAATGTGACTGATCTTCAACCATGATGGCACGTCAAATTTTCTGCAACTCCGGTATTTTAGTGAGCCTGTCGCCCGTAGGAGATGCACCACAGAAGCCAAAGCTGCCAGATAAGTCGAGATCGTCGACCCTTTCAGACGCTGAGATGACCGGAGTGATAGTTGTGAGGATAAAGAAGGAGGTCGTCTCGATCTGGCAATGGGAACGGTGGCTGATCGATGATCTGAAGATGTTCCGGGAACCACGTTTTGGCCGGCCAATAAGTCGCGACCAAAACAGCTTGGCCGTTTGACGAACTGTCTCCAATATCGATGGTAACAGCGCCGTTGACAGAAACGCGTAAGCGTCTAGACCCTCCCACGATATCGCTAGAGCGTCGTGGTCCCAGAAGGGCCGCCGACCGAGTCGTTCCCTGTTTGTTGATGCAGTGGACGACTGTGGAGTTGTCCGACTGTATCATCAGCCGTTTCCGACGGAATCGAAGTTTCCAGAACACGACCGCCCGAATCACTGCTTCTATCTCGAGGCAGTTGATGTGGAGGACCTTTTCTTCCGAAATGCGCTCCCCAGCCTTCCAATGATGCGTCTACGAATAGGTGTAGTATGAATGGAGGCTCGCTCATAAAGACGCCGTCGCAAACGTTCGACGGCTGGAGCCACCACTCCAGATGACAACGTAGCTGCGCCGGAAGTGGAACCAGGAGGTTGGGAAACTCCAGGTGGGGGTACAGCAATCTCTGCAGCGGACGAAGTTGAAGACAACCTCGGCGAATCAGGTCTTGAGCCGATGTCAACAGACTGAGGACTTCCTGCCACGTGTGCACCGACGCTGGGGCATGTAGAAGTCTCGAGGTACTTTGACCAGATTGACTCCCGTCTGGAAGCGTATCCCGATGTACTGTAGATCCCGAGTTGGTACCTAGTCCGACTTTTGAAGGTTGACGATCCACCCGAGTTACCGTAGTAGATTCAGGGTGGTCGTTAACTCTCCTTGATCTGTGTGATGAAGTCACCCCCTACCGGTAGCTCGTCTAAAGGTAGTAGACTCCAACGACGGTGACAGCGGGGGAAGGGACCTCGCTACCTCCCCCGCTGGCTCGCTGTCGACAGCACAGCAAGCGGTTGTAGCTGGTGACGAACAGCAGTGTCCATGGATTCCAAATGCCTGTCTACTACAAGAATTTTGGAGGGCGCTGGTTTCTTGAAGAATAGCCCCCAATCCAAGTCCCTGCTCATGGGTGACGAAAAACGGCATGCCATAGATCGGGTAACGCGATCGAACAGGTGGTTTGCTGAAACTCTGCCCCGGCGGAGCAGAGGCAAAGTTCTGGTCCATATCGTGAGCCATGACTCTGAAGACATCGGGAGGAGAATACTGAAGAGACTGCGGCATATCTCCGACCTTAAAGCCAGCATACGTCGGTTTGTCATCATCTTTTGATAACTCAGGCAAAAAAGTGAGATAGCCAAGCCATAGCCAGGCTGTCGTCACAATCCATCGTCGACGTCGATTGTGTAGACGTAGATGAAGGTACTGGTGTACTGGTCGATGGTCCATGGACCTCCAACGTAGTCGAATCCTTCTTGGTCGACGAGGCGAGTACCGCTGTCGTGATCTGGGCTATCAAAGCCAGGTCGATATGAAAGTGAGACGAGGGTGTCGATCGGTCATTATCTCTACGACGCTGTCGTCACAATCCATTGTCAACGTCGATTGTGTAGGCGTAGATGAAGGAACCGGTGTACAGGTCGATGGTCCATAGACCTCCGACGTAGTCGACGTGGTCGAACCTTCTCGGTTGATGCCGTCAAGGCAAGTACCGCCGCCGTGATCTGGCCTATCAAAGCCGGGTCGATATGAAAGTGAGACGAGGGTGATGATCGATCATTATCTCTACGACGCTGATCCCCCCAAAAATCCCTTCGAGAGCGTCGCACGTCCCCGTGGGGGACGAGGGCTACGATCTTTAACTGTAGAAGTACTACAATCCCCATCGTAGTTATCGTCTGAATCGAACTCCCGACGACCTCGAAGGCGACGAACGTCCTTGTGTCGTTTACTGTCTCTCGACCTGTCGTCCCGAGGCGGGAACGACTTGTAGAGTGGGATCTGTGTTCACTGACGACCTGCACGACGTCCCTATCGTCGTTAGTAGGACGAGAGACGGACCGACTGGGGACCGTAGTCCCCTCATGGTCCTCGTCACGAGCCGGTCCCGTCGTAACAGGGGTGGCTGGGTGACGCTCTCGAACAACTGATTGACGCTCTCGATCAACTGATTGACGAAGATCAGTCGTGCGGGTAGTATCATCAGCAGGCGAACGGTCACGTGTCTTGTCGAAAACATAAGTTGACTGGGGCGGGTCTTTATCAACAGATTTCTTGGGTGTGGCCGACGCGCCACCCCCAGGGCCAGATGTAGAGGGTGCAGAGTCCAAGGATCCACCCGATGACCTCTTAGCGCTGGTCAGTAGCCCGCTTCGCCAATGCACGAAGATACCATTTTAGTTTATTAAAGTGCTCACATTCTTTACAACGTTCATCCCACGAACACTTTGAAAATGCATTTTTAATTATGCAGGAAGGACAATACTTGTGAGGATCTACTTTAGACAGTATACTTTGACACGAGGCAGAAAAGCCCGACATGTTGCCACATGTATAATCAAGTCAAACTGTGAAACACGTGTTGAACACAAACAATGGATTACACAGGATTACATTCCAGGAGTCTACAGGTAAGACATATTATTATTACTGTAGTAGAACAACAACTGTAGACACACGATAAGTACTAGTAGAATACAAACTAGCAGTCTATCGCGAAAGTCTTTCTCGAGCGACCAGCTCAGAGGCGCGCTGAGAGATTTGTGACATGTCATAGGGAGGTGCGTGCGCAACCG